GAGAGACATGAGATGAGAACTTAAGTAGAAATATCCACCCTCTACTAGTGACCGTCATCTAGAGCATCACCATACCTCGTTTGTTGGGACGACCCGTGGACCTTACTGTGGTCGAGACCACCCACCCATTAGTAACATCCGGGTTGTTGCCCCACTCTTTAGGTCCTCACGTAACCTAGATGGCCGACTCTCTACTGGGTCTTCTGTTGGACAAATCTCTTATGACTCCCCACGTGGACTAACTTCTGGCCAGTTTAGTCGATCTTTAGCGTCCCCAGCCTTTGACCCTACATGTGTCATCTTAGTAAAGAATTGCAGTAAAAAGAAGAAATCTACTGAACCCGAGACTGAATACACCCATTTCGTGGATACTATCGATAACGAAGAATTCTTTGAGGATGAAACTAAATAGATTGAATCAGACTACCTGAATAACTTAAACCCTGAGCTAGGAAAGCAAGAACCTTTAAACGTCGACACCTTAACCCACCCTGATCCTAGTCTACTCGAGGATACGCCTTTGGACAAAGTATGCCTGGATGATAGTAATGTGATTTCGGAAGAAACCAATCGGACTTCGAACACTTTGAATTTAAATTTGGAAGATCCTGATTTAGTTGTAACACCTACTGAGATGACTCCGGATAATTCTGATAATTCTGATTTAATTTTAGATAATTTTGATTTAATTTTGGATAATTCTGATTTAATTTTGAATAATTCTGAGGGCAATGTAGATAATTTCAAAGTGGAAATGAAGAGATTGACGTTCCTACTTGAATTAAACCTTGATTTAAGTGACCCCGGATTCAGCGATCTTAGGGTTGCAACCAAACCGAGTCTCTTTCGGAAGACAGTACTTTGAGTCTGAAAGTTTTTTAGCCTGATTTGAACAATGAGCCCCCTCTTGTTTCATTAGAGTCTAACCTTAGAGCTGCTCAATTGGATTTATATTTGGCCGAGTGTGTCATTCCTTATTCTTACATCTTGCCCGTCATAGCCTCATCCTACCAAGATAAGGACCGCTTTTATCCTAGTTGGATGAATTTGATAGATTACACTGCTACCCCTAGGGGACTAACCTTGACCCTAGCTGAAACTTTATATGGAAGTGCCTTAGTAGCTAAGGATGTCTTTATTGCTCCTCATAAACCAATTCCCTTAAATTTGGAAACTTTAAGTCCCCTCATTTTAGGTTTAACCCATTGTTATGCTTATCTATGTGTGCTTGTGAGTCTGTGTGTTTGCATGTTTGCTTTCTGTCAAGTTTGGCTCTGTTTAAAACTTTGGTGTAAGCCCAAAGTCTTGTCATTCATCAGGCACATCAGGGTTGTCGCATCATCATTTGCATCTCATTTACAAGAATTGCACAAAGAAATTAATAAAATGATTGAATTAAGCAATGCTAACTATAAACTCAATGCGGACCTCAAGAGAAGGTTCAAAGAATTTGAAGTAGGAGACTATGTGATGGGTCGGATTCGTCCGGAGCGGTTCCCGCAAGGGACCGTTAAGAAATTACACGTGAGAAGCGCGGAACCTTTCAGAATAATTTCTAAAATAAACAGTAATGCTTATGTGCTAGACCTTCCCGAAGGTTGTAACTTTAGCCCCACTTTTAACATTGAAGAACTTGTAACCTATGAGGGTCCAGAGTTTAATCCACCAAACCTCTTACTTGATGAGCCTTGTGAGTCCCCACCTGGTGAGATCCCCAGCCTACCCCCACTCCCAAAATTTCCCACTTTACCTACTGTGGAGAGGATTGAGGCAGTACTTAGCGATGAAATCATTTCTACTAAAGACGGTGGTCGCCGAAGGTACTTGGTTCAATGGGCAGGATAGTCGGAGACGGAGATCGTGTGGATCGACCGAGATGACCTACAGAGATTGGACCGAGACTTGCTGGAGTGGTACGAGGCTTCTAGAGACACTCACTCGACGGGGTCGAGTTTTCTCCCACCCGGGGAGAATGATGGGGACATCAGATTTTGACACGTGTACCATCGCCGACGCCGGAGATCGACGGCCACGATCATGATCTGTATTTTCATCATTTTATGTAGTTGTTTATTTTATTTTATGTTTTTTTCATTTTTGCCCTTATGGGTATTTGGTCGCTATTGTAGCCCAAGGGACATTTTAGTCTTTTATTTTCTTTGTCATTTTGAGGCCTATTTATATGACTCTTTTCTAATGTAAGAGACAGTTTTTTTGATGAAATGAAATTTGCTTTTGTTCTCTTTGTGAGTTCATTTCCCCACGATCTCTTAGTGAGTTCGTAGGAGAAAACTAGATCTCTTAGTGAGTTCTAGTTTTCGAATCATCTAATCTTGTGGAAGTCCAAAGTGGAAACAAGTGATAACTAGTAAATTCGTAGTCGTCGAAGCCTTGAAATCCCCTCTTTTTTTTTCCCCTTGCTCTTGCCGCCGCCCACTTCAAGCAGCTCAAAGCCGCCGGCCACCCTTCCACCATTTTCCGCCGGCCAGATCAGCCGCCGCCGGCCAACCCGCCACCGGCCAGCCCCCCTGCTGGCCAGGCCATCTAGCCGCCGGCCATCCCTTGGTCCAGCTGCAGGGATTTCAAAATTGCTAGGATTAATTTGCTTTCCTATTTGGTCTTCCTGATTTGGGAAGTTCTTGAAGGGAATTTAATCCTAAATTGAAATTCCAATCCCGTTTCCCTCCCATATTTTGCCATTTTGGAAGTTTTCTTAATTAAAATCAATACTGAACGTTACTCAGATTTGATTATAATTAATATATAACATATGGGCCCCACCTATTTGATTTTAATCCCTCTCTTTCCTCTCTATACGTGGCCGGCCTCCCCTTGATTGGTTTTTTTTTTTTCTCTTCTATTTTATTAATTGCTCTCAATCAATTTCCATTAACCCTCTTGAACCGCCAGCTTTCATAAAATGCATACCAGTTACCAAAATTATGAAACTTCCATGCAAAAATGTTCAACTTTTATAACCATGATTTCCAAATATGTGCTCTCATAGGAGATGAAATATAATCAATAAGCTAAAGAAAATGGCCTATGCCCTTCAGAATATCACTGCACAGTTCTGGATGTAACATAATTACAATCTTGGAATGCGGATCCAGCTTCTTTTTTTAGGGCAGGCAAAATTTTAATTAATTAAATAACAACAACAATAATAATTAAAATAAAATGAAATAATAATAATAATAAAATAATAACATCAAATAGTAATTGATGTAGAACGGAAAAAACGACTTTGCTAGGGAGATGATTTCTTCTCCGAAATTTGAGAACAATGTCAGTTTTGTTCCCCCAAAACCTGAGAGAATTCAGATTTCCTCTTCTTTGTGTTGCTTAGACCTCTTGAGATGAATGAAGAAAAAAGTTTCTCTTGGGATGGTGAACGGTTGAGAGCAAGCAAACAAGAGAAAAATCTGAAGTAAGCTTCAGATTTTTGGTTGGCAGAGAGAGCTAGTTGAGAGAGGGGAAAAGTTGACAGAGAGGGAGAGGGGCGGGTAGGTTGACGGGATTGAGGGGCTATGGTGTAGTTAATTCTTAATTCCCTTAATGGGTTTAGGAAAATAAATTAGGAATTAAAGCTTCAGGGAATTCGGCCAAGAGTGGTGGGGGGATTTCAAATTGTTTTCAAAGAATTGGGGATGATTTAGGAAACAATTCCTATTGGAATTATTTGCTGGGGCCGGCGGCTATTGAAGCCCAGGAGAGATTTGGGGAGGGGATTTGGGGAATCTAATTGGTTGGGGAAAGATAGGAAATTTAGTTAATTAAAATCCATTTGAATTTGAAAATCCAAATTGATTTAATTACATTAATTGGCTCTTAATTAAGCAAAGGAAGGAGGAAGAGGGAGCCGGCCTAGGAGAGAGGAAGGGAGAGAGGGGTTTGATTTCAAGTAAGTGGGCTCCAATTACTTAAGTAAATTAATCCTTAAATCTGAAATTAAATTTCAGATTTAAAGCTACGATTAATTCCTTAATTAAAGGGAGGAAATTGAGGGGGGCAATTAACTCCTAATTCAAATTTGAATTTTGAATTGGAGAGTTAAAACCTTCCAAATGTGGATCAAGCTCAATTAGGAAAAATTTCAAATTTGAAATCCAAAATTTGTCATGGGTTTATGATTTCAATTGAGCGATTTAAAAAAATAGGTGAGTTAAATTAGGAAAGAAATTTGAATTTCAAAATTTGAACAATTTGAATTTCAAATTAATTCCTAATATCATGCACTTAATAATAATAATAATAATAATAATAATAATAATAATAATAATAATAATAATAATAATAATAATAATAATAATAATAATAAAATTAAAAAAAGTTTTAACCAACATAATGCTATAAATTTTGTAAGAGAAAATTTTATTATTTATCTTCTAATTTAATATTGATTTTAGTAATAATATAAGTTGGAGCATAATCATATACAATATGCAGAATCTAGACCCTAACTTAGAGAAAAAGAATAATAAATGAGCTTAATGTTATCTAACTTAAGAAAAAGTAAGAGAAAATTTTATTATTTATCTTCCAATTTTTTTCTCTTATTTCTTAGAATTCCTTTTAAACTCAACTTATAAATCATAAGACATTTCTTTTTCCATTGAATAAAATTTCACTTATACTTTATATAAACTAGAAAGTAAGTACATTACCTTTTTGTAGTATCTTCAACCAATGCTTCTTCCTCTCCCTCCCTAAATGATGGGCAAAATAATTTTTCTAGGGTGGTCAAAAATTCAAATTAACCTCCATATAGATTTTTTTTTTGAGGGTGGGCATTCCACCCTGGGCTATATGGGGATCCGCCCATGCTTAGAATTACTGGTATTGGTCAGTTAATAAGCAGGAGGCCTGATTGGCTAGCCTAGCATGCGACAGATTTTAAGGGCAATATACTTCAGTATAGCTTAATTGGTAAGGTTACATGACATTATTAGCTATTTAGCTGTACCAAGTATCAATCTTCTAAAGCCAGAGAAAAATACCTCTATATCTTCTAGCATGCCTTCAAAATCTAAACCCACAGTTCTAGGATCATAATATCGATACTCTGCCCAAGGAACCCTGGCATCGTTGAAAATGTTTTTGTGGTTTCCTGTTTGAAAAGAAAGTAGTCAGTCAAGCTAAAACTGAAAGATCCACAGACGGGGCTCCCTCTAGACAATATGGCATGGTATTGAAAATGCAGACCCCAACTAGGAGAAGAAATCAAAACTTTAGCATCAGGGAAATATCTTTGTATGAATGCTGCAGCAAGACGAAGTGAACCAGTCCCTGAAAGACTTTGCACAGTGGCAACCTGAAATAATAGAGTTGAACTACTGAAGCTGATAAATACTAGATAGTTATCCATCTAATTGTGACATGAATGAAAAACTATATTTAAATTAAAAATTCCCTAACTCGTCCTTGCTGGATAACAGGACTATCTGCTCCAAACAACAATTCTGCAGTGACTTTGTTAAAAGCAGCCAAACCTTCAATTGGAAGATACTATAAAATCAAAATAAACTTTGAATTAGAAACTGCATGTACAGAAAAAAGGAATCATGAAATTAATTTCATTTGGAGCTACCTCTTTATTTTCTCCTCTCTCCAGCATAAGGTTTTCTGCCTGCATGGGAAGATAAGCCATTTTATGTGGTACTCATTTACATATAACATGAACAAATGAAGGCTCCATTCCAGTTGAAAGTGAATGAAACGAAGTTTCTCTAGTTTAATATGCAAGAAACCAAGTCTGAACACTAGGCTATTCTGTACCTTCTTGACCACATTAAGCACATATGGTTGCAGTTCTTCTGTTCGATAAGCTCCCACGCCAAGATTTAGTTTCACATCACTTGTATCAGCTCTGAAGGCCTCAGAAACTCCTAGAATTGGATCTGGAGGAGCCATAGAAACACCTTCAAAACGAGAAACATTGACCGCAACAGTCATTCTCACACGGCCAAAATTCTGTGGACGGATCAAAGGCATGGCTCAGCCCATAGTACTAGAAAGCAACAGCACAGAAAAATCACAAAGAATGAATTATTTTGTCGATGCAGAAAAGGAATTAAATGGACCAGTATTTCTATATAAGGAGCTGCTCTATGAAAAGCTATGCAAACAAGAATTCTTCTATCCATCTTTTTGCCACTCTTACTAGCGAAACGTAAACCCACCGTAAGCCTTCATTTCAACTAAATCGGAATTGGCTAACACTATAACAGTTTTGAATCTCTTCACATTTCAATCATGTCCTCCCTCCACACTCCTTGGCTAAAAAACAATTTCCACTGCTTTTTGTTGTCATAATAATTGAAGATGATAAGCCAATTGTGATCATAGAAAATCCTATAATCAAATCCTCAAAAAATTATGTAAAGTTATTTCCTTCTGCAAACATCTTTAACAGTACATGCATCCCTATGCTATCTCATGACATGATAATTATAGCGAGGATAAGAAAACAGCATGGTTTTGTTAGAAGAGGGGAACAATTTGGCAATGCACAAAAGAGATAAAATGGAAAAACCAATAGATAGAATTGAAACAAACACCTAACATCAAAATGAAGAAGATGACATGATAATTAGGTAACTTCAGCTTGCTTTAGACTTCATGAGTATATTAGGGAGCCCTAGCTCTATTCGGGGGTGCCCACAACTTCAGAAATTCAATGGGGAGGAGGGAGAGGGAAGCCATATCTAAATTCATATAGAATGCAAATTGCTAATGACAAGACCCACAAAAACCCATCAACTTAACCTAACAACCCATTACAATTACTATCATGATAGATATATGGTTGCCTTCATTTTATGTGACCAAACAGTAACTAGTGAAGCTTCGCGGCTCAAACTGCTCTGCTCATCACAAAAAGTATTCTTAGATCACACCGAAAGCTCCACCTTAAGCGACCCCATAAATACCTGCAGATAATTTGCATCAGATTATCATTTCATGTCCAGCCGTTTACTCAAAATTCAAATAATCAACCACAAATTCATAGTAATTCCCGCCAGTGATACGTGCTTAAATCTATTCGAAGAGCCAAAATTATAAGCCCACACTGACTTCATAGCACAAAAAAACAATTCCAGGGATTGGAACTCTGTTCCATGCCGCGTGACCATGAAAAAGATTCAAAACCTCTCAACAATTTCAAAATCGAATCAATAAATTCAGATGCTACGATGCCAAATTTGCTAACCAATCCAATTCCGTCACAAACTGATTGAATAAACCATTCTTATAGCTTACAAAGCTCAGGATCTCGCATCCAGGAATGAAAAATAGGAGTTACCTTTCCCTTGAGAAAAAAATCTCTGCCTCTCCTTCCAGCAGAAGGTCCAAGCTTCTACCCATTTCGCAGAGACAAACAAACTCCTCAATAAGACACTTGAAGATTAAATGTACATACAAAAGAACAGTCATCAACACAGATAACCATACCTTGGGGTTCCCCATGAAGGCCGCCGGCGAGTAGCGGCCAGTGGAGAGCATCGTCGACGAAGCCATCCGATTCGATCGAGCAAAAAGGCGGACGGATTCACCAATCAAAGAAAATCCTCCTCCTGTAGATTATATATATATATAAACCCTCTAATTCGTATAGTTACACTGAGCTCGCTTTCTCGTGAGTCGTGACTCGTGAGAATGTGGAGGAAGATAAACACAGGCAAGCAGGCAATCCGGTTACCGCTAACTCGGTTTATCCGCCAGATTGGATGGTCTCCTTATTCGAGGTAGATATAAGTAAACTGTGACCGAGAAAAGAGAGTAACGTCCAAATGAACGGCTTTGATTTTGGCATAATAAGCTGATATTAATGAAATAAAAATACATGCAATTAATAATTTTTTACTATAAAAATATATTATTTATGAGTTTATGAATATTATTTTCTATTTTTTCTCAATAAATCTTACTTGGCTAATGAATTGCTTTATAGAAAATTGCTTTAAAAAGCATTTCCAAATGAAACCAAAAATTTTTACCCCTTTTGATTAATTAGTTGATATTGACTATTAGCCAAAGCTTGAAGCCTTTTATTAAATAAAAATTAATTAAAAATTTGTTTCTAATTAGCAATTATAAACTGGCAAAGTGCGGTTTTTGTGTAGCCAATCCTGTAACTTGTTGGACATGTTAAAACCCCTGTGCCCATTCCTGAAGCCATAGCAACCGCGGTTTCCCGCCAAATCCCTTCCTTCCCGCCAAACTGAGCTTCAAGGGAGCCCTTAGCTGTGTTCGTCGTCTTCCCTTTCCCTCGTATTATCTCGCGAAACGGAAGAATCCAGACTAATAGATAGTTTATAGATCGAGCGGGTCAGAGAGATGTCGGGTTGGGACGAGGGTGCAGTGTTCTACAGCGACCAGGCTCAGTTTCCACGCGGCGGTGGTGATCCTGACCATGGCTCCCTTACCCGCCACGCCGCTCTTCGCAAGTTCAAGGAGTTCATCCGCGGCTTCTCTGGCGAGAAGGGCGAGTTCCTCTATCGGTATTCTTTCTGTCCTCGGCCTCCTTTCGTCACTCATTGAATGTCTTTGCTCTTACCCTTTCGATTGCAGCGAGAGTCTGGTCCACAATCCCGACCACCTCACCATTGCTATGGAGGACATGAACTCCTTTGATGCCGATCTTGCTGACAAGATCCGAAAGCTTCCAGCTGATTATTTGCCCCTGGTATGCGTCATTTTCATTCTAAGTTTTTGAGTTTAGGGTTTACTTTCCGCTTGTGATGTGATAGGTCCGGCCTTTTGTAATGTTTTGAAGTTGGAAAGTGCGGCTGCTGAGGTGCTGGCGAGCCTTCGTTCGAAAATTGCCAGCGAGACGGGGGAGATGGAGGAGCCTGTCACAGGAGATGTCCAGATTTTCCTCTCATCGAAGGAGAACCCCGTTTCCATGCGTTCTATTGGGGTATGCATGTAAATTTCCCTTTATATTATTAAGTCATTTTCGTTTGGATGAAACGAAACTGCAAAGGGGGACTTTTCTTTTAATGAAATTCTCTGCCAAGCAAAATTATTTTTGCCATTTACCTACATCTTGTTTAATTGAATGCAAGAATTTACTTCATCTGGAAGCACTAAACCCTAAATGCAGAGGAAGTCTGCGATCTGGCCATGTAAAGTTTCAGTAAAAACATATCCAAGCAAAGGATGTCATTTGAAATCTAGATTTTTGTTGATGATATTCTATTGAAGAATCACAGAAGTGAAAATATTACAATCCTTTAGTATCCATTGCCAGACGGCTTTGTTTCTGCAGTTTCTACTTAGATCCCCCAATTCTTCATTTATAAAGTTGATAAATTTTATCCTATTGTGTGCTTTGATTTAGGCTGAGTACATGTCTAAGCTTGTCAAGATTGCCGGGATCACAATTGCAGCTTCTCGAGTAAAGGCCAAGGCAACATATGTAACCCTTCTTTGCAAGAACTGCAAGAATATCAAAACTGTGGCTTGCCGTCCTGGACTTGGCGGTGCCATTGTTCCAAGATCCTGTGATCATGTTCCTCAAGTAAGCCACCAGTAAGCAAAATCGCCATTGCCATTTTTCTAACAATGTGATTAGATATTGAAAGTGAGTTTCTTTCTATAGCCCGGGGAAGAGCCTTGCCCCTTGGATCCTTGGATTGTTGCTCCTGATAAGAGCAAATATGTGGATCTTCAGACACTTAAGCTGCAAGAAAATCCAGAGGTTAGTAACCTTCTTCTATTAAGTTTATTCTTTTAGAAGAAAGCTAAATATTTCTCATCGATTTGAAGGATGTCCCAACTGGAGAACTTCCTAGAAACGTGCTCCTGTCAGTGGATCGTCACCTGGTCCAATCTGTTGTTCCAGGCACAAGGTTGACAGTTATAGGCATATTTAGTGTATTTCAAGCGTCTGCAACGTAAGATACTCATTGGATTTTATTAAAGAAGGGATTTTTATATACATAGCATCTAAAGCCAGTTTAGGTGTTAAATATGTATTTTCAATAGTTTTAGATGTTATGTATTTAAAAATCCCTAAATTTTAATAAGTCTGACCAGGCTTGGTATTAATATTTTTGGCTATTTGCAGTCAGAAAGGAGCTGTTGGAGTTAAACAACCTTATATTAGGGTTGTTGGCATGGAACAAACACGTGAAATGAACACAAATGGGCCTTCCACCTTCACTTTAGATGAGGTATATTTCCTCCTGAAGTAAATTTTTACTGACTAATGATTTTCACAATGATGCTAGTATAATGACGCCATACTATGTAGGAGTTGGAGTTTAAAGAATTTGCCCAGAGGCCTGATGCTTACGCTAAGTTATGCTCTATGATTGGTCCATCAATTTATGGGCATCCTGATGTGAAGAAGGCCATTGCTTGCCTGTTATTTGGAGGTTCAAAGAAGGTATGAAGAAGGGATCGTTTTCCCAAGTTGTAAGATGAGAAAGAAAAACTAAATTACATGAGATGTATTTTGTTTTCACATACAGAGGTTGCCAGATGGGGTGCGACTAAGAGGAGATACACATGTCCTACTATTGGGTGACCCATCAACTGCAAAATCTCAGGTTCTTTTATTATTATTTTTAACTGAGGCTTCGTTTGGGACGATTTTTTATTTATTCTTAAAGCAACTTTCTAGTATAAAAATTTTAATTTTCGCGTACTTATAAACTGCTTTAAGAAACAACAAAAAAGCCGTCCCGAACGAAGTCTGAATCTTGAGATCATCCTTAGGATTTGATTTTTTAGGTATATAGTTTTTCTTTTCCTTTTTATGTGTCAAAAGAAAGATTGTATGTGGCTTGGAATTAAGATGAATGCTCCTGTTCTTCAATCTGCAAATCATTCTGTGTTGATTGCCTATTTGGTTCATATCTTTTCTGATATCTGTTTTTTTTTATCAAGTTTCTCAAATTTGTGGAGAAAACTGCTCCGATTGCCGTCTATACTTCAGGAAAAGGTTCATCTGCTGCTGGTCTCACTGCTTCTGTTATCCGTGAAAGTAGTTCTGTAAGTATCTAAAAAGGGCAGTTGTAATTCAATATTTTTTAGAGTTTTTTGTACAAATGCTTTCTCTCTTAATGTTCTCAGAGAGAATTCTATCTGGAAGGAGGGGCCATGGTTTTGGCAGATGGTGGGGTTGTCTGCATTGATGAATTTGACAAAATGAGGCCTGAAGACAGGTATAGTTTACTGTAGTAGTATTGTTGATTTTAGATGTTCTCTTCTGTGCTATTTATTGTAGAAAATTTTTGCATCTGTAGGGTTGCTATACATGAAGCCATGGAACAGCAAACTATATCCATTGCAAAAGCAGGAATTACTACAGTTCTGAATTCTAGAACATCTGTACTTGCAGCTGCTAACCCTCCATCTGGGCGTTATGATGATCTGAAGGTCTTGAAGCTATCCTCTATTAAATCACATATTTTGTTTGATTCAACTTTCATACCATAACATTTCTAGAAATTCCGATTCATTTCCTTTCAGACTGCACAAGACAACATTGATTTGCAAACTACAATCCTTTCGAGATTTGATCTGATCTTCATTGTTAAAGATGTTAGATCGTATGACCAAGACAAGGTAAAAATGATACTTTTGCATATGGATGGTTGCATGGATAACATAAAAAAAAAATATTTATAAAACTAACATTCTTTTTTTTTTGAACTACATGTGCTTGCTTGTTATCTGTATAAATAGCTAATTATTAAACTTCTGAGAATTTGACAAAAAGAAAAATACTAGTTGGGGCTCTGCTTTATATTTGGATAAGATGTATGAAGTTACCTATTTTCTTTTTATACTAGAAAAACAGTAATGAATTGAACATTTTCACGCAGCTAATTGCTGGTCATATTATAAAAGTTCATGCCAGTGGTGCTGCAGCAGCCAAGAAAGATGATTCAATCGAAGGAGAAAATTGGTTGAAGAGGTATTAATATGGTTCATATAATTGTTCTACGCTTCCTAAGTATTGGGCTCCCTTAACTTGTTTGCAATCCATATGACCTCTGTATCCATCTATTAACTTGAATCCAACAGGTACATTGAGTATTGTAGAGGTAGCTGTCAACCAAGGCTATCAGAAAAGGCTGCTGAAATGCTACAAAACAAGTATGTAGAGATCAGACAGGTGCGCTGAGCGTGTATATTTTAGAATGAAAGATACTCCCAAATCGATATATATCCATGCTTTCCAATGTCAAGTTCATATTGGATTTTTGTGTTGCAGAGAATGAGACAGCAGGCTCATGAAACAGGGAGATCTTCTGCGGTTCCTATTACAGTGAGGCAGCTCGAAGCAATCATACGGTTGAGTGAGGCTCTAGCAAAAATGAGACTGTAAGCGTCAGTTCTTTCATGAAATTTTCATTTTGTATGAAGCTCTTGGTTTAATTACTTATTTGATGAATTAGTCATTTTTGTCATTTTGTATAAAGCTCATTCAACTTGAATTATGGAGGTCAACATTAGACACTAAAGTTTTTCACTTGAGTAGATCTAAAACTGAATATATGTAGTGTAATTTTAATAGTAATAGACCTAGTTAGGGGATTGTGACTTTGGACAATCAAGTCATTAATAAGAGTACACGTTTCTTGGATCTTTGTTCAGAATGATGGGGATATTATCAGTAGAATTCAAGTTGGATGGTTGAAATGGAGGAATGCATCTGGTTTGTTGTGTGATAGAAAAGTCCTCTCAAACTTAAGGAAAATTCTATAAGATGGTGGTAAGACCTGCAATATTTTATGGTGCCGAATGTTGACCATTAAAAGAGAAACATAATACTAAGTTAAGTGTTGCATAGATGAGGATGCTCAGGTGGATGACTGGCTTTACCCTTAGAGATAGGATGCGAAATGAGCATATACGTGAAAAGGTTGGAGTAGCTCCTATGGAAGATAAGATTAGAGAGAGTCGCCTTAGATGGTCTGGTCACCTAAAATGGCGGCCTTCCTTCGATGACCCGGTTAGAAAAGTAGAGGTATTAGATTTAACTTATGTTAAGAAAGGTAGAGGTAGACCTAAAAAGACTTGGTTAGAAAATATTAGAAATGATCTTTCTTTATTAGATTTAAATGATAATTTGACTTTTAACATGACACAATGAAGAAAAAAGGATTCATATAGCTAACCCCACGTAGTGGGACAAAGGCTTGATATTGTTGTTGTTGTAGTTGTAGTATAAAGCTCATTCATGACATTGTCATTTTACATATAGGATTATAACCAAATTAATGTGCTTGATGAAATATTTGATACTTGCTGTTATTTGTTTGTTTATATAAAATAACAAGTTCGATTGGCATTTTTAAAGCTCATTATGTAAACAAATATGCTTGAACCCTCACTTGCTTGTCATTTTGTTCATAAACACAGTCACTTATTATTTAACAAGTAGTTTGTTTAATAAAATGCTCATGTAACAATGTTTTATTACTTATATGATAAATGACCTCTGAACATGATTTTTTTTTGGGAGGGGATTTACATACATACCACTTTATATCATACCGTTTACATATCTAATACTCTAATCTTTAATACTTAATGCTTATTACTCATAGACAACTTTAATATCAAGTATGCTACTCCTATATTTCATTCATATCACCCATATCATTTTATTTAATATCAAATATGTCACTTCTATATCTTATTCCTTGCACTCAAATTTGATGTGTAGCTGTTAAGCATAAAATATTAAAAATTTGGATGTTATACATGTGAATAATATGATATAAAGTGGTATGTATGTAAATCCCTCTTTTTTTTTGGTTGAATTTTTTCAATGCGTAATTATGGATTCAGGACTTCTGTTGCTACGCAAGAGCACGTTGAAGAAGCATTCAGACTATTCAACGTTTCCACCATGGATGCTGCTCGATCTGGCATAAACGAGCATTTGAATTTGACTCCTGAGATAGCCAACGAAATCAAGGTGAAAAGAGACCTTTGCCTTTTCATAACCTCAATAACATAACATCTGTGTGTAGAAAAGTTAATTACCTGCCTTTCTTCATTCTGTTTTGTTGAGCAGCAAGCCGAAACACAAATAAAGAGAAGAATGGGCATTGGTAGTCACATATCTGAAAGACGCCTTATTGATGACCTTACCAGAATGGGAATGAATGAATCCATTGTAAGTATTAGTTTACTTACTATTTTCTTATGAAGAAAGAAGATTGATTACAATTTTCTTATGGTTCCCAGATTACTTATCTGATCATTTTAGTAACAGTTATTTAATGTGTTCAATTTAAACTTTTGATTTATCAAATATAATTTAAAGTAATTCATGTCGGATTATTTTGAATCATATTTAAAGAATCAAAGGATTAAGATTAAGACTTTGTTTCGGATGGCTTTTTAAAACAACTTTCTACTAAAATTTTTTAATATTTAACTAAAAAATTTCTTTAAGAAGCAGTAAGAAAGCCGTCTCTCATACTAAGGCTTCATTTGGTAAACTTTCTTTGTTTCATTTGAGATGGCCTTACTGTTTTTTAAAGTAGTTTTTTAATATCAAGAATTTAATTTTTATATTAAAAAGTTGAAGCCGGCCCAATGAAACCTTAAACACCCCACAAATGATTTCAAAATAATTTTGACCTTTTTTTTTCTTTTGTATATATTGGCTCACATACACATACATGTAGAGAGCTCTACTTATTATGGTAGTTTACTTTATTCCTTTGCATATTTCAGATTAGGAGAGCTCTACTTATTATGCACCAGAGGGATGAGGTCGAGTACAAGAGGGAGAGACATATTATTGTTCGTAAGGCCTGATATTGAGCATGCTTACTGCTGAAAGAAATCTGGATGATATGATAAATAAGCCTTATAAAGTCAGCACCCAACTTGCTTGCGAGATGCAGTGATGTACTAATAAAACTCCAATTGCTACTGTTATCAAATGTGCTTTCCTAGCAAATTATCACTACATCAATTGAGAATTTAGTTGATGGGACTTTCTATTGATTTTGTATTGGCCTGCATTCATCACTTGGTGTTAATATTATCATGCTATGTTGTCATGAAAGTAGATTTCCTGTAAAGTTATCTGAGAATTTGTCACCTGATGCTTAGGAGTTGTCATGTCAACAATTTCTTGATTGAACTTATTCCGAATGATGAGAATCAAAGTCCTATATGGGGTCCTGGTTTGATACCCATTGGGTACCCATGCTTTACTCGGATGGGTTTCGCCCACCCAAGGTGACTTTCGAGATGTTGTATCCACCTATACTCATTCACTTTTCATTCTTTTTGAATGAAGTCTTCTACTGACTGATAGCCTTGAGGTTTGTTGCCCTTTGTTCTAATTGCAAACTTTTCAACCGCATATCAGAATTTATCATAGTCGTTGTGTGGTTAAGTGTTGCATACTACTTAGTACTACTTAGTAAGGATAGCAATAATATAAGATATATAGTGATAAGTAATGTAAATTTGATTTATCCCCCAATGTTGAGTACTTATCTATACCCATTCATTAGGTCATGGGCGTATTCATACCCACTCATATTCAATGGGTATGGATGGGTATATGGGTGGGTGTGGGTATGGATACCCAATGTTGGGCTTTGATGAGAATATTAGTTTGAGATATTAGAACAACTGAACACCAAGTAATGTTTATATAGGGGTGTATGCAGTGTGGGGGCCTTGGGGGCATGAGCTATACTAAATTTATCATTAACACTTAATTAAGTATATTTATGATGCATTAATTATAGATTAAATCAAATAAGCTAAGTAGGTAAAGGGTTTTGTTTTTCAGCCTAATCCCATGCAAGAACATGTGGAAGTCGAAACGGGAGGTCTTCTTTGCTTGAGTCAATGCCAAACCCCTAGTTGTTGCCCTCACCTTGTTGCTCCGCCCTCGCCTTGTTGCTTCATCCATCTCATTGCTTTGCCCTGCTCGTTGCTTCCGCTTTCTAGTTGGCAATCGCCCTTGACTCTCGAAAGTTGCACAGTCGCCGCTTGACACTCTGCTCCTGTAATTAGTCATCCGACCTGTAGTCGAGGCTACGTCGACCTTTGATCCGAGTTGCCAGGCCCTCGTCCATATTCCTCTGATTCATAAAGAACACTCTAGTCAAAGCCTTTCATTGTTTTCCTCTCGATCGCAAGCAACTTGTAGCCCCCTTTTTTCATTTCCTCCTAACTCCTTCCAATCGCACACAAGGAAGTTGTTCAGTTGCATCTCTTCTCACAACTCACAAGCCTCTTCCACTCTCTTCTCTCCCTCTCCTCTCCGTTCTACTTTTCTTCTCCTTCCTGCACACCGACATGCAATATCAGACTTGGACATTCAAGCTTCGGAAAGCAGCAAAGGCAAAGCCAAGGTGTACAACTTTAATTTGTTTCTCAAATTTTTTTATTGATCAATCATTTGTTAATTTGTTAAGCAACTGATTTGCTCTTATAAAGTTATATAATTATATCATAATTAACACTATTTCATACCATAAATTCAAATTAAAAAAAAAATATTGAGAAAAGCATATCTATTATTAGAGAAAAAATTTGTATCTGTTCAGCTTGAATAAATTCAAAGATAGAAAATGAAAATGTATGGATATTAAAATTGAATTGAATTTAGTCTTTATTTGGGACAATTTTCTTGCTTTTTTAAGCAAAATTCTAATGCAAAAATTGAAATAAAAAAATAAATAAAACGGCTAATGCAGGTTTCAAACCCGGATGAAAAAGGTTGAGATTTTTTTTTTTTTTTACTTCTGACATAAAAAAAATCCTGACTCCGCCCCTCTCTCCGTAACATAGATTCAACAAGTACTTCACCATAAAAAATGCTTTGTGAGCATCTGTAACATTCATATCATCAAGTTAATTTTGTATGGACTTGCTTTTCCATGAAGTCAGTTCAGAGGGCAGCAGAGCTTCATCAGAGGAAACCACAGCTTGGGCCATCAACTTCCCAAGCAAACCATGATACAGAAGTCCCCTCGAGCCAAGTCCGCCGACGAACCAATACTGGCAATTACCATCTCCGGCGACACAGCCAAGAAGCGGCAGCGATCCAAGAGGAGTCAGAGGCGGCATTGCCCTCAGACCCGCTCTCGCTCCCACAAACCCCCACTTCTTTATAGCCGGATAAACAACAGATACCTTCGGAAGCAGCTCGTTAATGGCTTCCGCCGCTTCTTCCGACGTAACGTGAGAAGAATAGTTGTTAGATTTCCACTCCCATGTTGATCCCATGAGCACTTGTCGGGGCCCTTGGAATGCTAGCCATGCGTTGGATAGGATTGAGGGGCTCTGGTTGCTATATTCTCTACGAAATTTGGAAGAAAATAAATAGAAAACATTGCACTGAGTTGTCAAATATGATGAGAATATTAGTTTGGGATAGATAGCTTCACCTTAGATCAGTGGGCAATTGGAGTTCTGCTATAATTCCTCTGCAATTCCTAAGAGGGAGATTTCCAGAGAGTTCTGGAAGTTTTCCTGCTTCAGCACCAAGACATATGATAACTGCATCATACTCTCCTGCAAAATAAACTTTGTACCAATCAATTTACGAGGATGGATATGCACAGCGCACAGTTGAAAGAAAATATTTATATTTATGCATTAAAAAACTTTTGTTTGAACTTCGCAACAAAAAGCTTTACAAGGATGCCCATATACGACAAAAAAGGGGAAAAAATCATATATGACAAAATGCCATCCTTAGGGATGTCAATTTCGGATCACAGGTTAGGTTTGGGTCAAAATCCAGAATTGACCCAACACTATTCGGGTCAATCCAAACCCGACCCGCTTCGAGTCTGGGTCAACTCGATACAACCCGAATAATTTGGGACCGACCAAAAATTGCTGGTTTTCGGGTCAAAAAACGAGTTAATCTCCACTTTTCGGTCAAAATCGGGTAAAAAACGGGTCAATCTCGGGTTTCCGGTTCAAAGAATGGGTTTTCGGGTTGAAAATGGGTCAAAATCGAGTCAATTTCAAGTTACTAGGTCAACTCGAATCCGATCCGATTTTTAAAATGGGCCAATTTGCTGAACCCTAACCCAAAATTTTCAGGTCGAGTTTTCGAGTCAAGTCAAATATTGACACCCCTAGCCATCCTCATTGTTCAATATGATGAAGATGCTAACATATTTATTCAAAAAAGAGGATGGAGAAGATGCAAGTTTGTACATAATAACAATAACACAAGCAAAAGAGCAAATCCAGACTGCAGGACAACTAAAGTGCTAAACTTGCTGACCCTAAACCCCGTAAAAACACAAAATCCCATTTTTTGTTTCACAAACTAATATTATCCTGATAATAATCAAATAAAAAAACTTATTCAAATCAAACATCATTTAAAAAATAATTAAACACATTTTCAATTAAAATTAAGTCATCCTAATTTAAATGAAATATTTGAAATAAATCCTAAATGTAATTTCCTAATGTGCATAAACCTTAAATATATTTTGTGCAAATCTTTTTTTTCTTTAAATACCTATGCATGTAACTCTACTCCATAAACTTTTCCTTTTCATTCGCAACATTAATTGCAGTTAAATATCTTATATGTTCTTTGTTATGTCATGATAAACATCTTATCTTTCACTTTAATATGAAATGAATTAGAATTTACCATCTAGTTCCCGAAGGCTATTGACATGTTTTTTGAGAAGACTAATCTCTGTCACTGCACGGGGTGATGAAGATACTTCAGTTGCAAAAATTTTGCAAGCCAAAAAAAGTGCCTATATTAACCAGTTTAAAATTAGCATAAAGAAAGAATCTAGTAAGACTGCGAAGGAGCAAATAAGTCAGAAAGCTTTACTTACTTGAAGGTACCTCTTTGGATGGATATTCATGGCAAAGGGCATGTAAATAGCAAAATCCAATGGAACTGATAAATTTGGTACAAGGCATGTTGCAGCTTGCCCGTCAAGGAGTTCTAGAGAACAACTTGTGAGGCAATTTTGAGCATTCTAGCAACTTAGAATGGGGAAAGATATGTAATCAGATCATTAACAACCCAAGCAATCGAATGCAAATAGATATATATCAAAGAGGATACTGCTTTTAGAATCTCTACTTTTGTCTCAGCTGTTGCAGGTTTTAAAATTCCCCTGAGATACCATTAACATAAATCAGCTTCTGAAACAAGAAAACAAATGCAATTGAATAATATTCAAACATTCTAGAATATTTTTATTTATAATTTATCCGAATATTCATCAAATGAAAAATATTTTTTGTAAAGTTTATGTTTCATGACAGCCCATGTTGGATCTTATTTCACTTGAAATGCTTTGCCAAATAATTCAGTAAGTCCAATAATCTTATTTCAACAACTTTAACTTTTTCAGAATCAAATAGATAATAATGTTCAGAGAAGTCTTCCAGATTATTGATCAACCCTAAAAATTCTCTGAAGTTATACTTCTCATTGAATGTAAGAATGATATTGTGAAACTTTATAATGGTTATGTTGTTGTTGGCTATAACGATAACCAACCCAAATTTATTTAATTTACATCATTAATTCAATATTTTAATTGATATGGCTACATGTCCTACATTTTGCTGAAATGATGCTGATCCAATTATAAACTTTAATATCAATTTGATCCAAGACACTTGAGAATCCAAGGACCCGAATACAATTGGAATGATAAAATGATTACAACTCACTGAAAAGAAATTAGGATTCTCATAGCAACAACCACGAAATACACAAAAACCCATTTTCTTTTGATGCAAATAAGGAGGTAAAAGAATCACAATCAAATTGATAATGCAACAGAGTAAATTTGAAAAAATTGATGGAAATTCAAACCAAATAAAATCAACGAGCAATTGAATTGTTTATATTGCAAATGAAATCCCAATATTAGCTCATTTGCTAAATCTATGATAATTGTAATAACAATAACTAAATTATAGAGAGTCATCCAAAATCCAGGACTGATGTTCAGCCTTTAAATAAGGATTGCTTGCTATGGAGCATCCCAGAAAAAGACATTTTAATAAATTTCTAGAAGTGATTTATTCCTTAAAAAATGGAGTATGGTACAGCGCAAAGTTGGGTATGGAGAACCAAAAGGTCTTTAAGACATGTGGTTCCTGAATTGATAAAAATGCCCTTTACATATTACATTCAAAACTTTGGAAAGTGAAAGTATAATCCATTTACATTTTATAATTTATTTGAAAATCATACCTGATTAGTTTAACAACAAAAACATCAAGTTTTTATTCCATTATGTGGGGTCCACTACATGAATCATTTTTCTCTAGTGTCCATTTATTTGGAAATCATACCTGATTAGTATAAGTTAATGAAAAATAAACAATTTGCTACTTTATTTATAATCCATGATCCAATCTATTTATACTATATGAAGAGGATAATGATAATTATCCCTTAGCAATGTATTGACCTTGTTATTTTTCAATTGTGTTTTGTTTATCTTAAACTTTTTAAAATTTAAGTTTGGTATTAAAATGCTGCAACAATATTTAAGTTACAGCCATAACCAGACAGAACGGTATTCCAAGGAGCAACAAAAACAGTATCTATCCTTAATGGTGTAAACAAATATTTTGAGATGACAATGATACTCAGAAAAATAATTAAAACCTACTTGAACACTTGAAAAGTATATGGGCGCAAATGTTTATCAATAAAAATTGGGATTTCAGCTACCTATTCACAGGTATTCAATGCGGATCATATATGCCATGTAGACGCAATTTCTAAACTGTTAGCACATACAAAATCAAAATTTTAATGCCATGTAACGAGTAGATATATAACGATAAAACAAATATGTGGAGTACAATGATTGCCTTCTCAAAATTATAGGTCCATCAAAAGAGTATGACTGATCATGACTGGTCCAACTCGAATAGCTTAGCTCCACAGCTCTTTCAGCAGCTACTAATAGCTCCAAACACTCTTTCCATGACTCTGAGCCTCTCCATAAGAGCTTACCTAGAGTCACAATTGTAATTGTTAAAAAAAAAATAAAGAAAACAATCACACAAGCATTTTTCACGATAAAATTCCACCATTCGAATCAATAAGCAATTCCTGAAGAAATGATGCTAATGAAAGCTTCCACAGTAGAACCACAAAAAGAAATAGCCACACCAAGCATCAACTGTACAGGAACAAGGCCAGGCAGAAAGACGTTTTACCTTTAGGTGAATAAGGATGAAGGAGTCCACCAGAAACACCAGATGCACCACCTCCTAAGTCGGATTTATCATAGATATCTATGCTCATACTAGACTCCTTGGAAGAGTGCTGCTTGGCACCAGTGATTAAGAACCAAAGAAGCCAATTTTAGTCAAGAAGATCACAACTATATGTTATATGAATAGTAAACAAATGTTATTTTGATGCAACCTCTTTTTTTTTTTTTGGGGGATGAAATTGCAGATGCAAGAACCTTGTTTCATTCAGTGACAGAGCAGCATAGTGGAAAACAAAGCTTTGTCATTGAATGAAAAAGAGTTATGCAGATGCAAGAAGTTTGCTTATTTTTGGCAGTTTGGCATCCTATTTTGGGCAGGGCTTAAGCAAAATTTAGATTAAACCCTGTTAAACAAAATTTCAAGGACTTTAAATTCTACAATTTTGATAAATTCCATTTCAATCATGCTACTGGTTAAATCCAAGTTTTGTTAAATCCCACAAGGATATAGCCGGTTGAGAGATTTCTCCTATCTCAAATCTTAAATCCTGAAACAAATACTCAAACAGTTTATCAAAATTTAACAAGATTTAAAATCTGTCATGCTAAATAGTTATCAGGTTTTAATTCTTTCAAGGTTTACCAAATCTGGATTCACCGGATTTACTCATCATTGTTGTCTCCAAACAGACCCGATGAATTGTCAACACTTATGTTAGAAACCCCAATGTACCGAAATAAATCACTCACTATGGCAAACTAATAACAATATCCAAGGCCAAAAACCCATAGAAGCAGCTTGTATGGGTAGCAGCAACTGATAGTCCACGACTGTAAGGATGAAACCAAATCACAGGAAAAGAGAAGAACCTGAAGAAGGTGCCAGGCAACTGATAGTCCAGCGAAACCAGCACCGAGAATAGCATATCTTGCCGAGCTTCTCACTCTCGAGCAGATGAAACGGCGGGTGACGTTGGGAATGTAAGGGAGGTCAATGAAAGGACGACATGAGCGACAAGAAACGGAGGGCAAATCGCAAGAGTAAAGAAGATAAGAGGTGGTGCGTTCCATGAGAGCGCCCTATTGACGATGATGATTAGGGTTTATGTAGGAAAAATTTTATTATATAAATTAGTATCTTCTAATATCTATTAATCTATATGTCAAATCCATTATTTTACAAATTAAAAAAAAATAATAACAATAATAATATGATATTAATTGAATAAACAAATGAATTTTACATTTTCATTTGATTATTTTAAAATAAATTAGAGAGTTAAAATTATAAAATTATTAAATTTTTATAAAATGTAAACACATGGCCTTCATAAATTTAATTATAGAACTACAATATAAAAATCACATGCTGTCATAATAGAAATTCATATTTTAAGATAATTTTGATATTAAAATTTAATTAATATGACAATACCTCTATCACCATCACTAACAAGACTTTATCCAATTTCTAAGAATAAAATTTAGTTATTAGTTGGGAAATTATTTTTTTAAAAAAAATTTTAATTTTGTTATATAAAAATTGATATGCATATATTCATCATCATATTACAAATCATCAAATTTCTATTTTTATTATTGCTTGTTGATATATCCTCAAAAAATTATCTTGATCTGGCACGAATCTCGAGGCAAAATCGAGCTGGAAACTTCAAAAATTAAATCTAGGATCACCTGAACTCCGATTTCAGCAAACTTACAGTCAAACTGAGCGTCTTGGAAATACGAACCCAACGACATCAAATTTGACTCAATACGAGCCCAAATGAGTCCAAATCATGGACCCGAAAGCACTATTAGAAAGTTTGTGCCACAATTTGAGTCACCAAACAGTTACCGAACTTGACGTGCTTATAGTCGAATCAAGCGGCTTGACAAAACAAATCCAACGAGCCCAAGATTGCTGAATTCCAAAATCATTAAGACCTTCAAATGTCTAATAAATAGTCAACGATCAATGGATTCAATATCGGCCGTCCATCCGAACCACTACATATTTGCCTTTGATCTCTCGCCTATTTACGGGCTATGCCACACTAGAAAATCATAAATAGACCCCTCATTTCTCTTGTGAGGGGACCCAAGCAAGAAGAAGAGAAGAGAATAAAATGATATGAGGTAATAACTAATCCTCCTCAACCATCGCCGGAGTTCTGCCCAACATCCGAGTGACGCCGAAATTCTGCCAGATGCCCGAGTGACATCGGAATTCTTCCCAAGTAACGTCGGAGTTCTGTCCGATGCTGGAATTCTGTTAGACTTCCAAACGACGCTGGAGTTCTGTCCGACGCTTAAGGGACGCTAGAGTTTTGCCTGACGCGAAAATTCTATTCAACTTCGGAACGACGCCAGAATTCTAGCCGACCTCCGAAGGACGCCAACATTCTGCCTAATCTCCAAGTGATGCTGGAACTCTGCTCGACGTTGTAATTGATTTTCAATCATGAAGAGATTTATTGTAATCTGATCGTCTTAAATTTTAAGGACGAGTCAACCTCTTATATTCCAAGCAAACACTAGTGGAACTCTTTCAATTGGGCGTGGCCTCGTGGTATTTCCCCTTTCAGGGTTTTCCACGTAAAAATTCTGATGTTGCTATTTCTCCTATGTTTGTGTGCTAGATATTCGTACAACGTTGAGACAGAAGTTTTTTAACTCTATTGCCGCATATATTCTAGTCTGCAACACTTGTCATTTTTAAATTTAAGGGATTTACATACATATCATCTAAAATATTTAGAATTTTAAGTATTTAATACCTAAATAATACTATTTACATCATATAACATACTATAACTCCATCAACGGATCTCATTAGGCATCATCTGACCTATCAATGCCCTCACCTACGAGTTTTGTTGGATTTGGCCATTCTTGGACCCATTTGATGCCCTTCTCGCACTGCATAGTCTAGTTGATGTGCTTGCCTACGAGCTCTTGCATAAGACACATGAGATGAGAGAGAGAGAGTGTGTGTGTAAGCCTTCGTTTTGACAATTTTTTTACTATTTTGTAAAGCAATTTTTTAATACAAAAATTTTTAATCTAAAAATTTTTATACTAAAAAACTACTTTAAAAAGCAATAAAAAGGTATCTCAAACGAAACCTAAGACTTCATTTAAGAAAGCTTCTTATTGCTTTTTAAAACAACTTTTTTTATAACATACTCTACTTTTACTATATAACTGCTTTAGAAAGCAGCAAAAAGTTGTCTCAAACGAAATCTTGGGATAACTTTTTTCTTGCTTTCTAAAACAATTTTTTTACCACACACATTTTTTGAAATAATTTTTTTTTATAAAAAAATTAAGGTACTTTAAAAAGCACTAAAAAAGCTATACGAAATGAAACTTAAGACTGCACACTAACACGACGGATCAATGGCAATGAGGGGAAACCCTAAACTAATGACCTAATGATAGGGTGACATAGGTTTTAAAGTTTTGTTTGGGACAATTTTTTTAATGTTTTTAAAATAACTTTTTAGTACAAAAATTAAATTTTTGCACTAAAAAATTGATTTAAGAAGCAATAAGAAAGCCATCCCAAATGAGGCCTAAGATGAAACACATGTAAATGGATTCTAAGGCTTTGTTTGTTTGAGCGTTTTTTTGCCTTTTCAGTTTGAAAATAGAAGATTTTTTTTTTGTGTTATTTGATTCGTCAAATCACGTTCCTAATAACTTTTTTTTTTTTCATTTTTCTGCGGTTTTGAAAAAAACTTTTTATATATGCTTCTCCCTTAGAAAACTTTATTTTATGAACTAATATTTTTTAAAACTGTCTTTTACAAAAACACAAAAAAAAAAAAAAAAAAAAAACAAACCCTAAGGGGGGGGGCATGAAAAAAAAAAAAAAAAAAAAAAAAAAAAAACAAACGAAGCCTAAGAGGGAGTGCATGTAAATAATAAACTTTATATTTTAAATGTGAAAATCATAATATTTTTAAGTGTTATTTATCCAAAAAGATTATATTTTATAACTTTTCTTGCACGCTTCAAATATATCAAAATCATCAACACGAAAACTCAAAATTTAAAGCCTTCATGTATTACATTTGAGGAAATTTTTAGCTAATGATGATATCAATAATGACAATTACGATAATGCCATTTTAGCTAATAAAAAAAGAGCAATGGGAACATTCTCAACGGTTTAACTTATCACATTAATTTTGGAATTTGGACTTAAATTAATACAATTTCATGTCGGACAAAATAAAATGGACGGTTATGATTGACTCGAGCATGGCCTCGATCACTTGGCTCAACCATCAAAACTAATTTGAACACATGGAAGGCTTCAAAAATGGTTTCTTCATAACATTTGTTCAAAAATTAGAACTTTGAAAGAGGTTTTATAAAGAACAAGAAATCATTTTAAGATGCTTTTTATTTTAATATTAAGAGAAAAAACTACATTAAAATTTGCATATTGTAGACCTCATGATCTTGAAGTCTTTTTCTCGAATGACTGATATATATGATTGAGGCATAAATCAAATATTAATGTTTCGTTTGGTACAGCTTTCTTATTGCTTTCTAAAATAAATTTTCAGTACAAAATATTATTTAAAAAAAATTTTGCAGTCCCAAACGAAGCCTAAAATTTTAGATAAAGCGACATGATATATATGCTTCGTATGGGACAACTTTTTACTGCTTTTTAAAGTAATTTTTTAGTCCAGAAATCTAAATTTTTTTATTTTTACACTAAAAAATTGATTTAAAAAGTAAAAATAAATCTATCCCGAACGAAGTCATAATCAAGTAAGACAAATTAAAATGATTTGATTGAGTTAAATACTCAGATTGCTGGGCTACTTATTTTGCCTCTAAATTCAATGAAAAAAAGGGATTGAGACATTCAACTCTTGATTGACTGGTGGCATTTTTCTCATAAAAATTGAAAACCTGACATGGACACAAATAATATTACCAATTCTTAGAAAAAATTTGCTCAGTACAGGCAACCAAATGATCCCTGCTGAGAGCTTTAAGGATGCTATGTTGATTTTCTCAGCATCTGATCAAAAATGGTCTCAGAATTCATTTCAGGTAGTACATCAAAATTGAAGACTCCTTCCTAGTCATGATTGTCGGAGAAATCACAGCTACCTGCTTTATAATTCCTGACTACTAATTAAAGACAATTCTATAAGGAGGATATGATATATGCCAAAGAACTCTAGCTCAAATAGTAAGCTAATTGGATCCCAAAGAAGAGTTTATAGGTTTGACTTAGGGGTGTAAGTGAGCTAAGCCGGCTCGAGCTCGACTCGTTTATGGGTTCGCGAGCCGAGCTTATCGAGCTCACGAGTAGAGCTCGAGCTCGAGTTCGAGCTTGATGAAGCTTGACTCACGAGCCGGCTCAAACTACTGTTTAAATTTTTTTTTAATTATTAATATTTTTATTACATTTAAAAGTTCTAAGAAAATTCAATCTAATCTTCAACAGTAGCATCTCCTCCTGTTTGAAACGGGCGAGAAAATCAAAATCGGGCGGGAAAGTGACGGGCAGGAAATTGAGTGGCTCGATGAGTGGCTCAATAAGCTCGAGATAGTGTCGCGAGTAGAGCTCGAGCTCAAGTTTGAGCTCAGTATTTGACTTGCGAGTCGAGCTCGAACACCCCCTGACTCGAGCTCGACTCGACTCGTTTACACCCATACTTTGACTACAATCAATGATACCTTTTTTCAACTAAAAAATCTCAAGCTCCTTGTCTGAAATTTGATCTGCAATTAGCTCATGATAAATCAATCCCACTTCGTTAGGTGCACACCAACATTCTTGGAAGAGTTCCCCAACTCCATTGCGAACTCTCCTACCCTCTTCCAATGCAGGTCCTATTACTTGGCTTCTCTCATTCAACAACTCGGGATGAAGAGAAGAACAGGATGAGCGTACAAGTGAAAAACAATTTACAAGAGGTGTAACTGGCTGGTACCTAAATGTCAGTCCAATCAACTGAAGTGAGAACTCACTGTGAAGATTGAGGACCTCTCTTTTATAAAAAACCAAATTCGCTAAGACCAAAATTTAATGGGTGCTCAATGGAAGGATATTTATCTACAAACGTCAACTAGTATTAAAGAAAGTGATAGGCCGGTTCCTCCTGAACCAGCCCAACCGGCCTTGGGTCCCACCCAGGGCCGGTTTGTTCGTGTTTACAGGCCCTATGGATGCTGCCTATTATAGTGGGTCCCACTAGTTCAATTAAATTTAAATTTGAAATGGAGAGGGCGGCTAGGGCTCGGAGGGAATTTATTTAGGAAAGTTTATGTATTAAATATCATGAGATGTTTTAGGTTTATGTTATGCTTGATTTGATTTTGATTGTGGTTCCTTGGCGTCTTGGGCTCTAGACTACCTTGTCTAGAGATTTGAGAGAGATGATCCTCCTCTCGAATTGAGAATCACTTGTATCTTATTTTTGTGCTTGTTGGCTTTGAGTTTCTTATTGCAATCCTTTGTTTAGGTGCTGATTTGTACCCAGATTTCACATCATTCTCGCTGTTTTTACCGATCAGTGATAGGGTTGCTTGCGAACTCAAGTACGAACTCAAGTATTTCCTATCAGAAAGTTATCCCAAACGAAGCTTATACCAAAGATAAGAAAGCTCTCATACGACTTTATTTAAAAAGAAAAAAGCTAGTAATATCACAACTTTGAAAAATTTTATTTCTACAACTTATTTTATAAACTACTACGACCATCCATATGGATCCTAAGAGTACACAAATAAACTTAACTACTACATACTTTAAGAACACAAGTACATGGCTAACACTAGCAAAGGATGTAACAAACATATTGTGCTATTGCTGTAGTATTTGATCCGAAATAAAATCAGCTCAACCTTTATAGAGGTTAAGAATCCGCTACGCAGTGATGTTAAACTATGAGGAAGGCACACATGTGCAGACTTAACCATGATAATATACTAGGCCCTGGAAAAATAAAACAACGAAGCTGAAGATACTTATTAAGAAAGGAACACTAGTAATGAAATTCATGTTCCAAGCTGATAGGAAACACTCGAAGATTTCAAGTAAATCCTATCAATTTTGAACAAAACAACAATAAAACTCTTCGAAACTCCAATGAAAACCAGAAAAATATTATTTTTTATTGCAATAAACAAACTAACGGAAGGAAATAACAAGATAGAATTGATCTTCTATTCGAGAGGACTATCTCTCCCAAATCTCCAGACGCCGATGGAGCCCAAGAAAAACCTAAGAGATCTCAAAATTCAGTCAAATTTAAGATGCCCTAACCCTAGGAAAACAAACTATTTAATGTATACAATCAAAAAGGAAATCTCTAAACAATCCCTACATTCAAAATTCCCTCCTAACTCCCTCAAAAATCCTTCATAAATAGCTTTTTTGGATCCTGCGGCTAGTGCGGATGTGCCGGAAGAGTTCCGCCTCTGTTACATTGAGCCGGTCCCATATGGACCGGCTGGACTGGTCTAAAACAAGCACTGAAGATATAATGCAACAAAATCATCCAGTAAAAATTCGAAAGAATCAAACTCAATACATATAGTTTGTTAAATTCGTCAGGACAGATAAGGATAAACACATAAGGTTTCAGTCGAGGTTAGGTGTCCCTACTAGTTTCAATTAAAAGGAAAATTGCTTTACAAACAACTCCAAACATTTAATCACAACTGTTAATGCTGGCAGAGTAAGAAGCACGAGCAAAACCTGAAAATCTAGAGCAACTGTCTTTTAGCAAAGCTCGTGGGTTTCCTTGCTCAACCTGAAGGAAAAGTTACAGTTATAGTATCAGTATAATTCATCAGTGGCATTAAAATTCAACGTTTCACAAACCAATTCAAGGACGACATTATTCATAGAATAATGGTGGTATGCAAGAGCAATTTCTAGGAGAATAATCAAATAAAATATATATTCAACAAATCGGATTATACATTTAAATTATAAACATGTAACATTTTGGATAATGAAGCAAGAGGCATGATACTGCAGCTGGTCCCAGCATTAAAAATTAAAATGCTAGAGAATATCCCTTCATTCAGTGATGTTAATATGCAGACGAGTTTCTCAAGCTTTTAAATGAAGAACGATACCTTTTTTGGGTTCCAAATGTCATTGCTTTTACTAATTTTGGGATTTCTATTGGTATACCATCATATATATTTATATTTGCTGGTATACACGCAACTATTCTTGGTTTGTTGGTTGTGAGTTTGGTTCCCAGCTAAGAGATTGTGGGTTTGAGTCTCATGTGTTGTGTATGTGTTTGGGTGCTACTCCTAATTCTCCCCCGTGTATATATTTACTATTTTTGGGGTTGGTTATATAAATCCTTTTTCGCCATTATGTTCTGTTAAAAGTCAAATTCTCATTTAAATCTTTGCTTATATATCACAATAAATAGTTTGTTAAGGTGGCGTATAAGTAAGGATTTAGTAGAATAGGAACAAAGAATTGGACTGCATATCAGGAAGTTCCTCTTTATAATTAGTATTAAAAAACAATGGAAGATATGGAACTCAATTATAACACGATGGATTGTTGCAATGCTAGACTTTAAGAGACGTGCCTACACATTGAACATGCCATAACAAGCAATATTTTGTTGAAAACGAAAAAAAAAAATTATGGAAAAAAATCCGGATTTGACTTATTCAAAACATATTCTTTAAGAAATTCTCTTGCAAGAACCAAGAAGTAAAATATAGAGAATGCTTACCAAGGTTCCATTGTCAAGAACTAGAATGTAGTCCATATTTAACACTACAGAGATTCGATGAGCTATTGTGATCACTGTCATGCCTCTACATTCATTCGAGATAGTATTTTGTAGTACGGATGCTGTCTGTGTGTCAACATTTGCAGTGCATTCATCCAAGAACAGTATCTGCAAGTTAACAAGTTTCTTATTAATATACTAAGCAGAGATTTATCCGAATATTTAGCCACTATTTATTATGACGTGCCTCTTTTTTTGTTGTATGATTACCATTTAGACCATTTAAGAGAATTAAACCATCAAAAATTTTTTTTTTCTTTCTATAAAGTACTAAAATATTTTGCCACTTTTCTTGTAAGCTGTAGAGCACCTTGTTTTCTCATAAGCTAATAAATATTCTCATCACTTTTTCTCTTGCGGTTCATTTGCAATGTAGGTATTACTTGTGATTGAAAACAATAGCATACAGAGATAGCAGTTATAGCTATGGATAATGACCAAGGCTTTGTTTGTGAACCTCAACTATTAGCATCTTTCTCCACCAGCTTATTTCAAAAGTCTCAGAGAGAAGGCATCATCAATGCGAGATAGAGGATACAGAAATGTCATTATAACTGATACAAGAGAAGGTCAAATTTACAGGAATAAACCAATGTGATCTTAGCAAAAATAGCTAGTTTGAATTGGTATAATGGCTGATCTAAGGATATTTTGGAATGTCAAAAACCTCTAAAGTAGATTCGGACCGGTCCTGCAGGTATTAAGTCAACTGAATACATGAAGCACTTGGGTTTACATGGACTGATTTATTGAATCTTCCATTACTTAATTTTTAAATGAATATAAATCAGTATTACTTCATTAAGTGCATAAATTTATAGAATTTCAGTTACCGGTTTGGGCGGAGATTGGACTTCTTAGGAAACTGGATGTGCCAGGTTTGGACACGAAGTGTGATGTGATGCATGAATTGAGTTACACATGATTAAGAAAAGGAAATTAAATAAGAGCTTAACCGTTTATAAAGTCATGCTTCAAATTAAAATTGGTTACAAGAATTCGTAGAGTTCCACTTTGCTTAGGTTAAAGAATTACAATGAAAATTGACCGATCGATTCAAGCCAATGCAAAGGGGAAAGTAAAGTTAAAAGCTAGTGAATTAAATCCAACAATTAATAAGGAGTTGTTCACCTTGAGACCTCTTCTCTCTTTCCTACGAAACTAGGTTGAGCGGCGGAAGATCGTCCAAGCTAGTAGTGAGGTTGCCACGATGAGGGAGGAGCCAACGAACGTCACCAAGGAGAGGGAACTCGGAGGTGGAGGCGTCACGGGAGGACGACTTTTTAATGATCCACGTGTAGTCGGAGAATTGATCGTCGTAGGCGTCAACTAGGTAGAATCCGGTCCAAGTAATCTTCGACGGTATTGTCGAAACCAAATTCGACGTCAAAGAAAGGAGATCTTAAGACGTGGATATTTCTGTAGATGTCGTAGAAGAGTCCTTGATCAACGGCGGGATCCGCCATACACCATGAATTTGAGGACGAGCGATCACCAAGAGCACGGAGAGGAAGTGGCGGCTTGGAGAGGAGGAAGAGGGGAGGCCGGCGGTAGAGATAGAGGGGAAATTTGTGGTTTGATGTAGAAAACTGAAATTAATTTCAGTTTAAGGGATTTGGGAGGGAAGAAATTTTGAGATTTGAATTTCCAATTAATGTAATTAAAGCATTAAAGGAAAATCAATTAAGGAGATGCCAAGGGGAGCCGGCGGTAGGAAGAGAGGGAGAGAGGGAGTTCAAAAACTGAAATTATTTCAATTTTTATGCAAGGGAAGGGAAAAATAATTGATCCTAATTTGAATTTCAAATAGGCTTAGGGAGTTAATTGGGTAATTAATGGGAAGCAAGATTGGGGGCCGGCGGCATGGCTAGGGAGAGAGGGAATTAGGGAGAGGAGGGAGGTTTCTAAATAGGATTTGATGACTAGGAGAGTTTTAAAATAAATCCAAATTAATGTAATTTTAAATTTGGATTCATTCACAAACTTTCCATAAATAGAAATTCCAAATTTAGAAACAAATTGAAATATGAAATTCAAATTTCAATGTGGAGTTGGGGAGGGAGATGGGGAGAGGTGGCGGAGAGGGAGGAAGGCCGGCGGCAAGGTGGCCGGCCGGTGGGGCTAGGGTGGGCTGGCGGGTAGGGCTCCAATGGTGATAATGCTCGCGAGAAAATTCGGCTCCTTCCAACTGTTGACCTTTGCTTGCGGGAGATTTGGTGGAGAAGACGAAGGTTGCATGTAACTACCTAGAGAACTCACTAAGAGATCTCTAAAAGAACTCACTAAGAGATCAAAAGGGTGGAACTCACAAAGAGAACACACAAAAGCAAATTTTCATTCAATAATTCCATAGCTCATACAAGATACAAGGGCCCTTTAAATAGGCTCCAAATGAAAGCAAGTACAAAGTCTAAAATGCCCCTCGGGCTACAAGAGAAAACAAACACCCACAAGGGTAAAATGGGAAAACGGAAAATAAGCAAGTACTAAATGAAATGCAGGTACAACAAGTCGTCAGTAGTAAAGGCCCTCTATCATGGCCGTCGATCTCCGACGTCGTCTCTGATACACGCGCCGAAATCGTCTGTCGATGACCTCATCAAAGTGCAAGCCCAAAAAGCCCAGACAAGGATAGACTTAGGATTTGTTTGGGATGACTTTCTTTCTGCTTCTTAAAGTAGCTTCCTAGCACAAAAATTAAATTTTTGTACTATGAAGCTGCTTTAAAAAGCAATAAGAAAGTCGTCCCTAACGAAGCCTCTGATACACGCGCCGAAATCGTCTGTCGATGACCTCATCATAACAGCACAAGAAATATTTAAATAACATGGAAAACATTAATTGAATAGAATGTTGAGCCACATAAGTTGTCAAAGTAAGGGAAGGGTTGCTGAGATTGTCAAGCTAAGTAAGGATTATATATGACTATTTACCACAACAGACATATCTTTATGAATAATGAAAATGATTTGATACAAGTGTTACAAGTTAAAGCCAAAGAATTACCTCTGCGTCCCGTGCAGATTTTCTAGCTCAGCAATGAACCGAGCAAAACACCGTACGCCATTACCGCACATCTGGATCCAAATAAATTTAGAGAAGACTTATATGAATTAAAATAAATGTTTCTCAAGTAGATATGAAGACTTTGCTTCCAACAAATTCAAAGGACAGACATGAAAACAATTTGAGATGGTTCGGGCACACACAAGAAACAGAAGTAATTCTATGAGTCGTAGTTCACATGAAAAGTATAGAAAATATAAGGGCAAAACTAATGAAGTTGGAAGCTCTCAATGATACATTTAGCAAACTTTTAGCAACAAATGTAGTTATTAACATGAACCGATGGGCATAAGACTCATATGAACGCCCAGGATGATTATCACGCATGAAGAAAGCAGGTAGATGCAAATATGAGAATTCAGGTATATCATCTACAAATTAAGAACACGAAGGGGCTATGCTAACAAAAGATGTAATCTAATTTTCCCACAAATAAAAAAAATATATATTAACCAGTCAATAATATTTATGGAAAAGGAAACATGCATACTACAACTTATAATAGCCAAATGTCAATAGTTTTATTTTACAAAAAGAAGGAAATACTCAACTTCAATAACTTTTAAAAAAAATGCCTCAAAAGCACTGTACTTTAAATGATATGGTTTACACATATCCATAGTCATAGCAACATGATGCAGATGACATTAAACTATTTACATGACTATCTAAAATTCTTATTATTAATTATCAATTTATAAGTCCATAGTTATACTTGATTCTCCATTCGAATATTAAATTGAGAGCTTGAAAGAAGCTCATGCCACCTTATATGTTTTGAATATAATTAGGTACTGAAGTAACAATGCATATCACTCATCAGAGGATCATCTCAGGTGGTACAATATCATTACTTTTAAAAAGTACGAATCTATCAACACGAGATGGAGAATAATTTTTCTTATATTCATCTCCTTAATAGACGAAGGCTTAATACACAATAAGGAAAGTAATTCTTTTATTTACAAAGTTAAAATATCATATAATAATTAAATCATTATGGCTAGGAGTGATTCTAAGATTATTATCAAAGAGTGATTTAATAAGCAATCCAAGGAGTAATATAATACACATTGTGTTGATACTCCCCCTCAAGCTAGTGCAAAGATATCGACCATGCCAACTTGATAATTGCATCATGATGAACTTTTCCTGAGACACTTTTGTGAGAACATTAGCTAGTTGATCTTCAAATTTCACAAAGGGAAGGTGTGATCTTTCGATCAAGATTCTCCTGAATAAAATGATGATCAACCTCCATATGTTTAGTACAATCATGTCGAACAAGGTTGTATGCAATTTCAATGGCTCAATTATTATCACAATGTAGATTTAGTGGTTTCTCGTATTTGATTCCTAATTCTTCGAATCCATAATAGTTTGCATACACAATGAGCCATATCTTAAAACTCAGCTTTTGCATTTGATATAGCCACCAATTTTTGCTTCTTGCTTCTCCAAGTGATCAAATTTCTAAATGCAAAGTAGCATGATGTAGACCTCCTATGAATTTTATTTCTCACCCAATCAACATATGTATATCCTTGAGTTCTTAATTCTATTTTTTGAAAATAGATATCTTTTAACTGGCCTTTTCAAATATCTTAAGATAGGATGCACTGCATTCATATGTTCTTCACTTAGAACATGGATAAATTGACAAATGACGCTCACCGCATAACAAGGTTTAAAATTGTGTAAATAAGCCTCGAGGAGTTTTTCGTCCGTGAGGCGCGTAAGCCTCGAGGCAGAGTGAGGCGTAAGCCTCACGGACGAAGAATCGCGTAAATGAGAATTTAAGGGTTTTAATAAGTAAATAACAGTAATATTCTACCATACAATAAAAACATCTAAATTACAAGTGAAATTAGTGGAAAATAAAAAAATAGATGCAATATATGCATCGCATAGTATAATTCAAAGTACATAACCACAAAATATAAGTCTATCAAAACTCCCAATGTGCAAATAAGAAAGAACATATTAAATCAAATCATGTCCCATCACTAAATGGATCTTCAAGAGAATCTTCTTCTCCAATTGTATCTATAAATATCATATCTTCATCATCTTCAATGTTACTCATTTTTTTCTTCCTTGTTCAATAAGAATGATTATTGTTATGTTAATTGATCACTTGATATATATATAATGTAATAGCACATAAGAAGTTGTGGAATGCCTTTAGTTACTTGTTGTGATGCAAAACTAGCGGATGTGTGTGATGTAGTACTAGTGAATGTGCCCACTTAATCTGCTTCGCCCCTCAAGACGTCCACACTTAGATCCTCTAGTTGCATGTCTGATAATGGCAAATCTGTCTCATCATCTATGAACAACTCATTATCAGGCGTCGCATCATCACACACCAATGGGTCCTCATCATCATTTAACCCCTTGTTCCTCAACATCTTATCTCTCAACCTCTTATTGTGCATAATATACACAAGGGAGTTCATTCTGAGTGTTAAAAGTCAATTTCTTCTCTTCGTTTGCACTTGACTATATGTACTCTAATTTCGCTCACACCCAGAAGAAGAACAAGTGAGGCCCAAAACTCTAACAGAAAAACTCTGTAACTCAGGGGTGAATCACCAAATTGGATCCACCATTCAACTATTTTCAAGAAAAAAAAATGATAATCATAAGATATTAAAGTGTTATGCATGTATAGATACTTAGAAAAAATATGTATACCTGGAGACAGTTTAGCAATAATATATTTTGTTGCTTGCAAACCAAAAAATTCCTCCCTATTCCGAAATAGAACAAGTTCTAAATTTGCTAACTCCCTGACAGTCTGGTCCGGTATTAGTCATTGCATGCAATGATACAAGCCAAGATAATTCACCTCCGGATTTGAGGATTTCCTCTCTGAATATTGAAATTGAGGAATGAGATAATACGCTGCTGCATGTAGATAATGGTGTAACTGGACCTCCCACCGAGCATCAATGATATCCCAAATCTCTTTATAACTTGCCTCCTCTCCTCCCAAGTTATGTGCAATCAACTCATTTTCCTCATCCATAGCATTATATATAAAACTCATGGCTGATTTCATCTTAGCATCCACTAAACGTAGAACTTATACCAAGGGTCTCGTGCTCAATATGGCATAGGTGACACTAGCCCAAAATTTATCATTTAGAATTAGCCTTCGTATTTCCTTTCCCTAAAGTTTCTTCCCTCACGTAGAATTAAGCCATTGTGTCGATGTAAACATTGCTTCAAGAGGTTGTCTCACATCCAGCAGGCTCTGCAGTGTCAAATAAGATGTGGCAAACATGTAGAATAAACTTTCATTAAGATTTGAAAATGATTTGCAGTGCACAAATGTAATAACAAACCTAGTGGTAGCAGGTCGAATGATTTCTTCATTCAGAAAACTTTCTCATTAAGGCTAAGACTCATGAGTGGTTGTAGATGAACTTTGTGATCTTCTTCGCCCTATAAAGGGTGCTCTTGTGTTAAGGTAAAACACTAAGTTCCTCCAATATGAGATCGATACAGTGTGCTGCGCAGGGGGTCCAATAGAGGTGTTTCCTCTTCTCCATCAACATCTGACCAGCTGCTTTGTATGCACTGGCATTGACAGGCACCGCCTGAACAACCAATTGCTCCCCAATCTCCCCAACAACCTCATCTAGTAAATTGAAAATGAATTCAGCATTTTTAACCTCATTTGAAGCTTCAACTGATCGTAAAAACACCGTGCCATGGGGATTGTTTATAAGGATATTAATCAAACTCCTGCTCTTCATGTCAGACCATCCATCTGACATAATGGTAACACCAGTATCACTCCATGTCCATTTAATCTCATCAATACTCTACTTTGTGTTCTGCAACTCCTCTTTCAAAATCCATGTTCGCAACTCGTACATGGAAGGTGCCTTCAACCCACTCCCATACAACCCTACAGACCGCAACATATTGAAGTAGGCTGGCGATGTCGCAACATTAAATGGTATGGCATTCTCAAAAAAAAAATCTGTCAATATCCATTCAAACCTGACGTAGACCCTCTCTGGTACCAGCCGCAACATCACTTGTGCTTATCCTCTATCCTCTCCTAGATTAGTCATATATTGGTCCATAGGACCCCGTGCACCTGTATTCTGTAAAGTGGAGGAAGAGTCCTTTCCATTCTCGCTGCCAAAGTAAGCACCATGTTCGACCCTTTCATCAAATTGCTCATATTGTAAATGTTTGGTCGTGATACTCTTTTTCATATAAGCTGTAATTTCCTCCTTCACCTTATCCGGAACATTCGCACAATGTACTACATTCTTATGTGAGCCGGATAAGTGTTCCTTCATGCGAGTAACTCCTCCCTTCACCACCTTATCACAAAAATTGCATTTTAAATACACGTCTTCTCGTTGCCTCCTACATCAACTTGCACACTGTATTTCCAAGAAGGGTCACGTCACAATAACGTATTTGTCTTTTCCTTATCTCTAACCATGTTTCATAATGCACAAATGAGAAAACAAACATAAAATCTCAAAAAATTCGTAGACGTGAGGCGCGCCTCTAATTGCGCAATTTTAAACTATGCCACATAACATTATGTTTGGCCTTATGTGAGAAAAATAGAGCAGCCATCCAACTAACTTCTAATAAAGAAATTTATCAGTTGGAACTAGCCTACCAAATATGCAAGCCAATGCTTCATCTATATAGGTGGCTCAAAAATTTTAAATGCCAGCACCCCAATTTCAATCAATAGATCTAGCACATTTTTCCTTTGTGAAAGAAATGCTAAGTTTTAACCTTAATACTTCAATTCTAAAGAAGAATTTAAGTTGACCAAGATCTTTCATTTCAAAAATAGCTTTAAGATGTTGTCAAGTACTTCTTTCATCTGGGTCATGTCCCATCAAAATCATGTCATCTACATACACAAGTGCAATTAACTTACCTCTTACAAGCTTTACAAACAAAATATGGTCTACACAGCTATGTTTATAACCATATGCCCTCAATGTGGATGAAAACCTATCAAACTAGGCTCAAGGAGACTACTTTAATCCATATAACGCCTTTCTCAAGTTATGTACTTAGCCTTTACTTGAGGATATGCTTTAGCTTCAGGACTCGGGAGTTAACTCCATGTAAACTTCCTCTTCTAAATCACCATTTAAAAAAAAATTTTACATCAAATTATTGCAAGGGCCAATCTCGATTTGTTGCTATGGAAAATGAAAATACCAATTATATTGAACTTGGCCACTGACACAAAAGTTAATAATCAATTTCAAATATTTGTGTGTATCCTTTTGCAACTAACCTACCTCATATCCTTCAATATTGCCACCCTCTTTGAGCTGAACAATGAAAACCCATCTATATCCAATTTTCTTCTTCTTTTCTTCAAATTTCCCAATTCGCTTCTTTTGAAGGGCCTCCATCTCTTAATTTATATTTATGATCCATTTTGGATCTAGAAATGCATCCTCCACAAAACTTGGAATATTGACACAACATAATTGATCAATATTAAGTGCATATGAATCAGCCAGTCTCTAGAGGGAAACATAATTATCTATTTAGATATTTTGTTTTGGCCTCAGGATCAGACTCATTATTTTTTTTGGACACCTCTAGTGAACCTATGGATATTTATAGGAAATTTTTTATGTAAACACCAATGTTTCATTATGATTCAAGATTACATGTAGGAACATTTTGGTTAATTCTTTGATTCATGGTGTAGGTACAAGCAGATTAGGCAACTCACACGATTGATTGGGGATCATATTTATTTAAAAAATTAATTCTGTAGAGACATGGTGAGCAGCATTGCCTTGAACGAGGAACCTAGCATTGGAGCATTTACTAGCTGGTGTTGTAGCAACATGCTCTCCAGAAGCATCATCAAATTATTTCACCTCAAACGATTCCACTTTCATCACGAAACAAGTTCTCCTCACTGTGACTCTCCTCATAAATAGAATACCCAGAAACTCCCCCTCAATTGCTAAGATTCTAATTATTCAAATAAAACATCCAGGTTTATATGTAACTTCCAGGTTTGAGGAACATACACCTATAACCCTTTTGAGTTAAAATTAGCCAACAAACACATTGTTTTGAGCATGGATCAACTTTGCTTGCTTCCCATGACTTTAGGCACATGAATATAGATCATACAGTCAAAAATTGGTGGTTCCAATATTAGCATAGGAGGAGGAGACAATAGTGATTCCATCTTTTGTTAAGGTGCTTCAAACTCTATCACATTAGATGGACTGCGGTTAAAAAGGTAAGGAGTTGATTTTGTCGTCTTTCCCCAATAAAATTTAAGCACATTCATACTAAAGAGTAAAGCTCGAACGATCTATGGAATTTTTCTATTATTCTCTTTTTGCTAATCTTTTTTTAAATAATCATGTTGTGGGTATACGTGCAAAAAGTTTGGTCTCCAATTCCATGCTGACTTTGAAGCATATCTAAAGCCTCATCAATAAAATCATTTTTGTTGTTCAAAGTCATGCGCAAATTTGTATTTGGTATTATTGAGTGTTCACAATATTATGAAATTCTCGAAAAACATCATAGACATCCATTTTGTTTCGAAGAAGAGATATTCGAGTCATTCAAGTACATTCATCGATAAATGTAACAAAAAACAGGCTTTAGATAGAGATGGAATTTTTGCAAGACCCCATACATCATAATGAAAAACCATGAAAAGTTTCAAGCTATTATTTAAACTTATTATATAAGAGATTTGGTAACTCTTAGCAAGTTGACATGTTTTATGATAAAAATTATAGTTTTTCTTAGAAAATAAATGCAATTTTAATTCATGATGTGCTACATGAGATCCTATATATTTTTAGGTTTAATATACTCAAGATTATTGATAATTGATGAATATCCATACATACGAGGATACCCTCGTCATCAAAATTAACATTATCCCAACTTTCAGATTAAACTTTATGAGTCCTCATTTTCCATTCACTATTGCCAAGTGTTATATTAGACATTATGTTTTGCATAAATTTTTTCATAATTTCTAGCCATATGACTTTTGATCTAGCCCTTTCTTCCAACATAATCCTTCAAAATTAATTTTATATATTTTTTTATTACTACTCTCCTACTCTACCTTGTACATACCTAAACTAGCCAAATCTATTTTTCACTACATTATATAGCCAACATATGCTACTTCCACCCTAGCATTATAATCATTTTACAGTTTATCTTTTCTAGTTTTGTCAAACATCCATCTTAGCATTCTCAATTTTGACACAATTAACTTGCCATGACTATGGAACCAATTCTGAGCTTAATATAAGTCATGGTTATTCACATAGACACATCAAGTAGTAGCCACTTATTTCAAAAATATCAAGATCATCAACCATTTTCACAATTTTCCCAATTATCTAAGCAATGAACCAATAATCATTCTTAATTTTTCTTGATTTACCTCAATGAAAATATGGAAATTATTGGAATGAATAAAATTGAAGCAAAATTTTATAATATTGCAGTAAGCTTCTAGTGAACAGAAGATGTTATTTATGTCTAAGGTACCAAAACCCGAAGAGGACTATCATATCGAAGACTTTGACTTCAAACCATCAAGTGAAAACCATGTTATGTAAAGTGTATCTCTCTCATTTTTAACTTTCCTTGCACTTCTTGAGCAAACATTATGAAAAAATGAAGTGGTGGAGAAACATTACATATAGCACTAATGCTAAATCCAGTTCATTTATATCAGAAATCAAAAGTATTTTATATTCTATCATTTCAATTATTATTCCCTGTATATATATATATATATATATATAAACAATATTCTTGTAATTTTCAAATATATTTAATATAAAGATGTTTAAAATTATTCAAAGTAAAAAAAACCAACTTAATATTGAAAATGAAGACCATAATTTTTAAAAATTCATAAAACAAAAGTTTGATGAGCATAAAACCTATTTCAAATCCTTGCTTCCTACTAAAAAACCATGTTATCCTTGGAAACTACACTACTTACAATAGCTGTGTAAATGCAGTTTGATTTTCAGTGCTCTAAAGCTATGGTTATAAGGATGCATAAGGCTGATAATCGTCAGCAGCCTTCAATTTTCACCATTCAGTCAAATTTTAAGCCAACCTAGCTCTTATTCATTCATCGATTGATGTTAAGCATTTTAACAATACTTCATTCTCCTCAATCAACTGGAAATAACTTCTACCAATTTTACCTTTGTTTAAGTTTCTGAACTAGAAGGCGAGACAACTAAAAGCACAAAGACAACTCAGCACGCTCAAACGCAAGGCGATCAACTTACGCAAACTATAAGCTAACAAAACATCATCTTTCATGTCAAATTCAGACAGGCATAGTACCTCTGGTTCACTGCCGTCCGAGTTAAAAATTCTCATGGTGTAATCCGTGCCGTTGAACCCTGGCATCACGAAAATAACACCATCAGCGCCAACGCCAAAGTTGCGATTACAGATCTTCATCGCCTGATCGGGTGTAACCCTAGGCTCCATTGACTCCCGATTATCCACCTAAGTTCTCATAACCATTAGCACATCATATTAAATCAAACACAACGACTCGATAACAGAGTAAGTAAAGGCATAACATTTCACACCATAATGAAATCGTTTCCAAGGCCGTGGTACTTGACGAAATGGAGGACGCCTGACTCCTTGTGATCGAGGAAGGAGGGATGGGAAGGAGCCATCTTCGGTGCTTCGACAGTCGGTGCTTCGACACTGACTGAAGCGAAAAGTGGTCGAATGCTAGGGTTCCGGAAGAAAGGCGAGGATTTGCAGTGGTGGAGCTTTAGATATCGGAGGAAAGGAGAGATTGAGGGTGGAGAGCGTCGCGAAGGTAGAGAGAAGGCGAGGGGCAACGAGGTGGTCGACATTATCTCGGAATCACCCACGAGTTTTTTCAGCTTTCAAGCCGGGCGATTTTGCTCCGCCACTGACTTCTCCATTCGCCACGAAAAAAGAATAGCCTAGCGGCGTTTACATGCCTAACAGATTTGTGTGCCTCCAAACGTACAGCAAATTCCGAATTGTTGGACGCACTGCATGTGTTTTGCATAAGTTTTATTTATGTTACGGGTATTTATAGACACGCAGCAAATAAGATGCAAATTTTTATAATTAATTATTTGTTATTTATTTACTACGTATTTATAAATATGCAGTATATATGCATTAAATACGTAGAGCGTAGTATACGCAGTACTATGGAAGATCCTCTATTTTTGAACTCCGCACATAATAATTTCTTCTCATTGAAGCACATAGTACAACTTTAAATTTATTCAAATCAGTCAAATGAGCTTAAATTAGAGGGATAAATAGATTATATGATTGCTAACATGGTTATGAAAAGCTAAGATTCTTCTAATTTCAAATTAAGGTTTCATTTGGAATAATTTTCTTACTATTTTTTAAAGTAGCTTTTTAATATAAAAATATTTTTAAAAAATTTTATTGAAAAACTATTTTAGTAAACAGTAAGAAAGTTGTCTCAAACGAAGTCTAACTCATTCATATAAGTGATTATTGTGATGCAATTCCTATGAGAGACGACTATGGCATAAACCTTGCAAGTGATGATAATAGTGTAGCTTTTATAAGGATGGTTATTGTGAAGGTTCAATAAGTGATAGTTATAGTAGCATAAAAATGTTAATAGATTAGTAAGGATGCAAGCGAATCAAACGTTCAATGAGTTACTCGTTGCTCGGTTCAATTAAAGCTCATTTGTAATCGTTTAACTAAATAAACAAATAAATTTGAAAACATTTTTAATACTCGATCATTAAAAAAATAAACTTAAACACTAATGTGTTCGGTTCATTTATGTTCAAGAACAACATCATTTAAAGCTCGTGAACAAGCTCGACATTAAGCTTGATTCATGTTCGATTTAGAACTCGTGAATAAGCTCTATAAATATATTCATATAGATTAATCATATTTTTCATTTTAAGTAGACAACTGCTTTTATTATAAAATTTATTTAATTTTATTTTATGCATTCAACAGAATTAATTGGTTAATAAACACAAGACATTTCACATTTGACAATGTTTGCTAGATTGTTTGTTTAAGATGTTCATGAGCAAATATAAAATGAACCATATATCGTTTGTTCGTGAACAACTCATTTGGTAGCTTGAAAATACTAGTTATATATTTATTCATGATCTTGCTCATTTGATAGCTCAAGAATGTTCATTAGAATTGTTCATGAACGTGCTTGTTTGATAGTGTAAAAAAATTTGCTAAACGTTCACGAACATAGCTCGTTAATACTTGTTTGTTTAAAGCTCGATAAGCACTAAATGAACCAAGTATAAACCAAACATGAACAACATTAATTTAAACGAACCAAACATGAACACAAGCAATAAGGCTTGAATCAAACACGAACCAAGCTTGAACAATCTAATAATAAACAAACTCAAACATGAACACTCACATACTCGACTTGGTTCGGTTCGTTTGCATCCCTAAGATTAGCATATGCAATGTAGGTAATGGATATGGCGTAGATTGCCATGCTCCTATCGGAATGGAACTTCTGCATTGAGCAAAGCACAATGAGTTTGAGAGGGACAAAAAATGAGAATCTTTATTCAATCTTTCAATATCAATAGATTCATATCATTCATAAAAAGTTCCCTCAAATACATTTGTATGCAAACATCAAGCCTCTTATCTACCATAAAATAGTAGTTATGGAATAAAATAAACTAAATCTTTCATTAATATTATTATCATTTACATCTACAAGAATCACATGCATAATCTTTATCATTTATCCATGTATAACATCAACATCATACATGTAATCACGATTAAAAAAAGAGAACATGTACGGCATAAATTTCAACGTGTGCCAAATCATTCTCTATGCATTAGCCTCATTGCCCTTCCCATAAATTAATAGCACAGGTACAAATATAAAGTGAGTATAATGTCAGTATCTTACAAAAATTTAGAGATTATATTTCACATAAAAGAAAATAATATGCATGTTTATATTTTATAATTATAAATATAATTATGAATCATATTGATGAACCACATCATGTAGTGTTGTAGTGTAAGTACATGTATTATGCATAACCATCCAAATCAATGTATGTCTACATTTATGAAGCTTGAATAGCGGTTTATGTTAGTTTATGTATCATGATGAATTAATGTATATTTCAAGTCATGTTTAGTTGTAAACATGTCAATCATTTAGAACATATAAAGAGATGTGTTAGTATGAATCAATGCATCAATATCGTATTAGTTATTTTAATTATAGAGCAATAATTGGCTTTAACATTTATTCATTGGTCATTTATTAATATCATATAATTTCATATACTTCATTCAAGCATATCTACCGATAATCATATCTAGTTACTCATATTTTTCATTATGCCTCCATTTAGGCATAAGAGGCAACATACGCACTTGTTATAAAATCAATCAACCAACAAGCATTCATTTCGGCCAATATTTCAATCCAATCTACATATTCAATTGTATTTATATGTCCTAGATAACATGATGACATATCAAATAGATCACATGGCACATCATTGGATAATAACTAGTTCATGAATATGGATCTATAAAGGTTATATAAACATAATGAAGTCATTTTTACCACATGATATTTAATGTATGGGGTATACACAAAATTACATTAGATCGTATCCACACATGTAAAATGCTTAGGATAGCACATAGGGAATAACAACTAGTTAAAATGACACAAAAATGTACAAGAATGCAAAATCTAGAAAATAGCAATTCACATTGAAGTATATCAATAAATTATAAGTTTTCAATTCACTAAAAACCATATGAAAAAATATAAGAAAACAAATGAAAAATAAAATCATTAAATTATAAGTGGGAAGAATAGTAAGCCTATCTTAACAAAACATACTCCTCCGATCATGTGCTGCTTTCAATCTTTCTCTAATGATTTTAACATTCTTAATTGTACCATCAGCTAGCTTTAATCCAATCAATCCCCATTTATCACGATTCAATATGATTGTGGCAATATTTTGCAACTTCTATGATATAGTGCCTTATGGTGCATATCAATATTATGCCATAAATGATTGTTGGGGGTAAATTAAATGAAAAGCCTACGATCTTCTAAATAAATTCCAAAGTTAAGAACACACAACTTCTTCAAATAATTTAACATTTGTATAACCCTCTCAAATGATCCAACCATCTACATTTAAAATGTTGCGCTTAAATTCAATCAATAATCAATATTTCATTTACACTACTTCAAAACCTATAGGTAAATATGACATTACCATTCAACACAATAAAGATGGGTACTACATAAAGCCCCATAACGGTGGGTGCCATTTTATCCCTCACAAATAGTTACATTAATCAATAATAACACCTAATATATTGTGTTCTTATCTCGATTTAAGAAAATCATCATTAAATCTATAATAATATTTTGTCACTTATATTGAAAAATTGGTAATGGACAAGGGCAAAGAAGAATCAAAACACTAAATTGGTAATGCACTTGTATTTATGCCCTTTATTACTCCCAATATTTCACCTACCACTTGTTTAAGACAGGTGCATAGCATAATCAAAACATAATAGAATTTTCAGTACATAACTAATTTAGTTCCATATTAGAATAATTACATATTATTTTCACCTTGGGCCCAAGCTTATAGTTTCAGAATGTCTTTCTTTGTAATTCAGAAACTCTAAAATATCATGAAAAACACAATATTGCAATGCCATGTGCAATTAAAGTTTTTTAAAGTAAGTAGTAACATATACCAACTTGTGCAGAGAACCCTCATATTTTAGTTGTCAACTCAAAGTACTAAAAAATTTATCAATTTTACAGAAACTGTGTAAAATACTAAATTAACATACTTCATCTATTGCATTTCAGATAGGCTTCCAATTTTCAAAATAAATAAAAATTCATATAGAACAAGCCAACCGATAAAATTTTGTATTCTAATAGTCTAATTATCCAGAACAGAGAGTAAAATAACATATAAAAAGTTACACGGTGAAACATTTTTTAAAACTTAAGAAAAATATTTTTAAAATCATATATTTCATTATATACCTTGGAATTGAAATAAAAAATAAGGTATGGGTGGCCTATCTTGAGCCCTACAATTTTCCTAACTAGTCGGACAGACAAAATTGGATTTCATACTCCATATTCTCTCTTTCTCCTTTTTTTTTCTTCATCCTCTCCTTTCTTCCCTGACAAGAAGCTAGTGACTTTAAATAGTTATTATTCAAAAAATATTTATTCGATCAAACGCCGTAGTGCTACCACTTCCAATGCCGCAACCCCACCAACAGAACTCTCAAACTCTCCCAAACTTCCTAACTCCATCCTCAACACCATTGCAACACCACCAGGCCGCCACATTTCCCAAATCCCAATTTTTTCTCATTTTCTTGAGAATATTGCTTCGTTTGGGATGGCTTTCTTCCTGCTTCTTAAAGCAGCTTTTTAGTACAAAATTTAAATTTTTTGTACTAGATAGCCGCTTTAAGAAGCAGAAAGAAATCCGTCCCAAACGAAGCCTATATCTCTGCAATGCTCGCACATAAAATTTTCAACTTCTAATTTTCTGCTTACTAATCCCACATTTTCTAAATCTTCTATACACCATTCAACTAAATCATAATCACAATTATTAACTTAGTTAAAATTATAATTAGGAGCATATACTTACCTAAATTTCAGACGATGAATATTACAGTATGCCTCAACACTCCCAAGAAAAATAATATAACATGCACAATGAGACTACTGCAATTATGCAAAATTTCCCTTCTCAATCACAAAAAGTGGGAGCTTATAACCAACCTCCAAGTATTATAATCCTATTATCATTATTTTTGAATTTTTTTCCTCTTTCCTGACTTGTCTTGATCAGTTAGCTTTATGTATTATTCTCCAATCTTGATCCTCTCTTATAAGTTGGGTTACTAATCTGTTAATCTAACTATAATTCTAACATCTCCAATTCATAAATTAATGCACACTCGTTA